GGAAGGACTTCGTTGAAGAATCACAGCCTGGGAAAGATGGGAAAACTTTAGATGTGCAAGTGGGGAAAGAAGAGGTATGAAGACAGGCTCAGGAGTAGAAATTCTCATGCCTGCTTGTGACACATGGGGACAGACTTAGCCATTGTTACAAATGGAGGGAAGACCTCACACTCCATCCAGCAGGGGTTGTCATTATTCTTTCTGCAAACAGGCAGGAAGGCTAGCCACCAAAACACTCTGCAGTAGATCCCTGTCTTAGATGGAAGCCAGGTGCATCATGGTTTTCTATATTCAGCATAAACTTCCTTTTATTTAAAAAAAATGTTTCTCCTTTGAACTGGGGCATGGTTTAAGTGGTATAGCACTTGCCTAGCAAGTGTGAGGCACTGAGTTCTATCCTCAGTCAAAAAAAAAAGGTTCCCACCACACTCAGGACTCATTCCTAGAGATTTTGATTCAGTAGAACTGGGGTGGGAACCAGAAATCCACATACTTCAGAAACATTGATGTAGTTGGTCTGAGATCCAGGCTAGGTAATTACTACCTGGAAATGGCCCTGGCCATGCCAACAGGTGCTCTTGTTTCTGATCACGTTGTTTCTGCTGCACATGGTCTCTCCCTCCATTCAGTCCCTGTGCTATTGTAGAATTCTTCTGTGCATGAACAGCACATCCAGTTACCTTACCACCTCTTATGGCATAATCTTACCACTCTCTCAATTCTGTTCCTTCCTCTCCTTTCTCACTGCTACTAGTAGTCAGATCTTCTTTCATCTTGTTTTGAGTCTTGCGGTAGCCTCTGGACTAACCTCTTACCCCTCTCTACTCTTCCTGCATTTTGTCTACTGCCCTCAGATAAATCTCCCTATCCACATCATGACTGGGTTATTTCCTGCTCAACCACAGTTACATCTCCAGAAACTTTAGCCTGAATAAATTGTAAGTGCCTTAGCATTTGAGATTATAATATGGTTCAGCCTGTGCTACAGGTTGGATGTTGAGCGACCCCAGGAGCCCTGTGTTAAAGGCTTGGTCCCCACAGTGGTGCTACTGGGAGGTGGTAGAACCTTTAAGAGGTGGGAACCAGTGGGAGGTTTCAAGGTCATTGGAGGTATGTCCTCAAAGGGAATCGTAGGACCCTACCCCCTGTCTCCATTCTTTTCTTCCTGGCCATGACATGAATAGTTTTGCTCCTCCATGCATTCCCTGCCATTGCCATCTGGCACCCCCACGAGAGGCCTAGAAGCATTGGGTCCACCCAATCATGGACAGGAACATCTAAAATCATAAGCCAAAATACACCTTTTCTCTTTATAAATTACCTCAGAAATTTTGTCATAATGACACAATGCTAACTAACACAGCCTATGTTCCTTTGTTATTCCAAGTCCTAGCAAAACACCAGACTACTCTACTCCTCAAATTCTCTGTACCTTCCCGCTGCAATATTTTTCTGGGCTCTCACCCAGCTCACATCTCTACCACTGTTCTCTGTTCTGAAATGCTCTTCACCTATTAAAATTCTACCCACACTGTAAGACATAGTTCAAGTTATGTGTACTTTATAAAGTCTTCTCCATTTGAAAAAAAAAAAAATATATATATATACATATGTTTAAATACATTGTATATTTTCTTATCAGTTATGTGCTACACAGTTGGCTAGCCTTGGGGAATAAAAAGATGAGCAAGTTATGGTCCTTGCCCAAGTGGAATATCCATCCCAAAAAAGATCAGAGTAAGTGGTGGGAACACGTGCAGAAGAGGCCCAGTGAAATTTAAGTGTTTCTCATGCTCACAGCTCCCTTCGAAAGAAAGTAATCAAAAGCAATTCTCTCCACTTAAAGTTGCTGATAGTTTTCACCAAGAACACAGCTAACCTCACACTGCTATTCTGGCCTCTGATCCCCTGTGGTTTTCGACTGCTTAAAAGGGGTATCCCCCATGAGATGGCAAGAACAGACCCAACCAGACCCCCTCCCTAAGGAAGAATTCTTTGGGACTCACAGATTGTCTCATAAGTCCAGACAGCACCCTCTTCCCACTGCTCCTGCCCTCCAAGAGGCAGGGACACAACCATCATGGAACCACTAAGACAAAACAGTTTGTATCACCATGAGTTAACACCACTGTCTTCTTAAACAGGAATTAAGCCTCCTTCTCCAAGGTAATCTTAGAGCAGCTGTGCCAGGCAGCACAGAAGGGACTGGCCAAAACATGGTATCGTGAGAATATGAGCAAATAATACGCAGAGTGACCAGCATCTAGGCAACAGTAAGATGGAGGCAATTGGCCCCAATATCAAAGCAAGTCAGTAGTGAAAGGAGGCCAGACTCAGGGAGGCTTCTAGAATGATCTACTCCAATCTCACCTTACACATGAGACAAGGAGACCCCTGGGAGACCGGCTGACTTGATCAAGAACCACCAGTGGCTGGGGTGTTCCAGATGTTCCTCAGTTCTTGGGGACAACACCTAAGATTAGGACTCTGCCCCAGATGAAACAAAAGAACCATAAAGAATAGGAAGACAGGTAAGAGTGATTTATTAGGAAAGTGAGATTATACCTCAAGGAGTGAGGTGAGTAGTTTGAGTAAGATCCCTGATAGCCCTCCCTCATGGTCCTCCCCAGATAGTTACATTGTAGGCTCATGTAGTCTCTGATCAGATGATTCCCGAATTCTGTGTGTCCAGCATGGAGGCATGGATGTAGTAAGGGAGGTAACAGAGCTTATTAAAGCTAAGGAAAAGGCATTACAAAAAGCAATGGGCCCCATGTGGCTAGATGGGAGGTGGAAGGGAGGGAGAGAGAGAGGAAAGAAGGGAAGGAGATCTGTTTCAAGGTCCTTAAGACAGCAGATAACCTGCAGGTAGGGAAAGATTTGGGCAGTCCCAGAGCACCAATAATCCACTAGTGGGGAGGGGTTTGGTCTCTGGGCTTGGGTGTGGCCAATACTCGTTTTTTATCTGAGGATGATGGGAAGATATACTGCCTGCAATTTGATACTCTTGGCCCTTCCCTGGACAAGGGAGTGGGCTCCATAAGGACAGAGGGTCATTACCTTAATCCTTGGCCCAGGACAGGGCCTTGTGGGGTCTCCTCACACTTGCTAGACAAGTGTTCTACCACTTGAGCCACCAGGCACCTGGGGTTTTAGAATGAAGTCTGGTAGCCTAGGGCATTTCCTGGGTCCTGTGAATGTCTACCTAGCTGTCTAGACTAACAGAACCTCAACCAGTTTTGACAGAACCTGTAGATCCCCTGACTCCAGGATTCCCCATACACCTCCCAGTGCTCATGTCCCAGGTTAGATAAGGTTTAAGTACATCCTAAAGTCTCTGCTTGCTTTTTTTTTTTCACTCCAGGAGTTTTCCATAAAAATAACAAAGCATAAGCTTCAGAACACCTCCCTTGCACCGGCTTTTACATTTGTAATGTCAGATATTTTCCTTAATAATTTTCCCCAAAATGATACAAACCTTCAGGCACATGGTCCACCCATTGCAGAGGTGATGCATTAATTGAGCAGGAAAAGTATGATGTGAAAGAACTAAAAGGAAATAATATGAAAAGGACTTGGGGCAGAGTCAGAAGCGGTCTCCTGTAGTCCATAGATGAGCAGGTGGAATTTACCCTTTCAAGGATTTACTCAAAGAGGCAAATGACGCCAGGGTGTTGTTCAATCAGGTAGTGTCCACGCTTGAATGCACTCACAACAGGGAACGAAATCCGTGGAAAGCCACAGATTTGAAACGCTCAGCCCAAAGATGACGACCTAGGAGGCCTCAGAACCCCCCTGATGACAAAAGCTGAGGTCAGGTACAGGGATTCCGTCTCCGCAAAGAGTACGAATAAGGGCTTTCCTCAGGACAGCGCCCAGAGCAATTCTAGTCTGTTCACAAAAAAGGATGCGTCCAGCCCGAAGGCAGAGTGAGGACTGTGACGCGATCGCAGCCGCCAGGCCACGCCATGCGCAGGTTCAGCGTGCCGCCGGCCGCCGGCACAGGCGACTCTGAGGGGCAGTGCATCTTCGTCACCGCAAGAGGGCTCCACACCAGGCTTGCCGCCCCAGGAGGTTTAAAATGTTAATTTTTTCCTCTCCCGAAATAAAAATACTATTTTTGCTATTACAAAAAAAGATGTATCAAAAAAGTTAGAAAATGCAAAAAAAAAAATTACTTGTGGTCTCATTTTATTACAGAAAACTACTTGGACTATGTCGATGTATATGTTTCCAAGCCTGTCTAAAACAGTTACATAGAAAATGCTTACATAAACTGCATTATATAAACAGTGTCACACGTACGATACCATTTTTGTTCATGTACATAGACATTCTTTATAAACACACGTTTTTAGACAAAAATGGGATGGCTCGCTCTGGAGAGACTTACTAGATCATGGTCACTCCATACCAAGTTCTCCACCAAAATAATTCTAAGTGGTGCCATTGTGTCCCATCATTCACTCCACTGAAACGACTGCGTAAGTAACAGTCACATTGTAGAAAATTCTACGTGGCTCCCTACCACGATGTGCTTCGTTTTCTATTGTTGGGAGTGTTTTACTCCATGTCAGAGACAGACGTGCTGCAGCTGTCCAGGCCACAAAGCCCAATCTCTTGGCCCAGGACCTGAGCCACACGAGTGACGGCGCCCAGCGCGCCGGGGCCTCGTGGGTCGCGCGGGCCATCATCGCCGCGGCCATTCGGGCGGCGCGCTGCCCGGGGAGGCCCTGCGCCCAAGTTTGGGCGGCCGAGCTCACCCGGCCGGACCACGCTGACCCTCGAGCGGGGACAGGACTCTGGGTAACCGAGGCCCCGGGGCCGCGGGTGGGTGAGTCCGTCCGGGGAGGGTGGCTGGGGGGTCGGGGCTCGCGGGCGGGCGGGCGGGCCGGGCGGCGCGCGGCGGGCGGGACGGGGGGCGGGGCGGGCGGGCGGGGCCGCGGGCGCGCCGCGCTGCCGTTCGCCCGTCGGGCTGCAGGTGGGGCTGTGCGGCCGCGCTGCCTCCAGGAAGCCTCACGGGCCTTCGTCGGCCGGGCCGCAGCGCCGGCTCCCAGGATGCAGTGTGGACCGGCCGAGCGCTGACGGGGGCAGCGGCGCGTCTGCGAGCGGAACGGCGGCAGGCCGGCCACCGAGGAACGCGGCGAGGGACGCAGGGCCAGGCCGAGGCGCCTGCGGAGAGACCCGGCGGCCGGGCCTGCGTGGGGCTGCGCGCGGCGGCCAGCGACTTCCTCCGCGCCGGGCCGGACAGCGCAGGGCCATGGCCGAGGCGGCCGCGGCTCCGGTAAGGGCGGCCCGCGCGCTCGGACGCGCGGCCTCGGGCCCCGGGGACGGCCTGGGCCCAGCACACGGCGCCGCAGGCCCTGGGGAGGGGTTCCGGTGGCCAGGCCGGGCCGCCAGGCCTGGGGCTCCGGCGAGCGGGACGCCGGGTCCGCTGGGGCCTACGACGCCCGCCACCCGGGCCCCCCACTCCCGACCGGGCGGAACCGAGCAGGGGAGAACGGCCGTCCCGGCGCCGGAGGCCGCCCCGCGCCAAGTTCCCGCAGCCCTCCGGGGCTTCCCGCCCCCGCCCCGGCTGCTGTCTCCTCGTCCCCGCGCCCCCCGCCCGGGCTCTTTTCTCTGCCGAGCGCTCGGCCCGTGCTTCCCTCCCCCAGCTCCCCCCAGCGGCCTGGTGGCACCTGGGAGGTGTCCGGCGAGGATTCCGCAGGCACTGAGCACCCACTACGTGCCCAGCTCGCCTCGGGCGGCGCGGGAGGGCTGCATGCGTTTGTCGAGCTAGGCACTGCACTCAGCCCTGTTCGGGCATTATTTTGTCCTCCCTGCAAACCTACGGGATGGGTGCTGTTGTTATCTGTGCGGTACAAAAGGAAACCCGCAGGCCCAGAGAAGTTAACTTATCCAGGATCACACAGCTAGAAAGTGCGGGAAGACACCGTCTCCCGATTCGAGGAGCCGCTGTGTGATGGGGAGCAGACAGGTACACAGCTAACAGAACAGGAAGGGAAAGGGGATCGCGGCCATCCAGGTGGAAGCATTAAGGTGGGAATGCAGGGGGAGGAACGAGGAGCCACGCAGACCCCGTTCACCCGGCCTGACTCAGTATTCTGTGCTTCTGTGATTTGAGCTGGACTTTTGCGTAAGGCTAGGGTTTCACCAGGCCAAGCTAGACTCAGACTCGTGGATCTTTCCAGGAAGGGAGGAGGGCTCGGGCAGAGGAACAGAGACAGGACAGTGCCGGAACGGAAAAGAGTCAGTGAGCCTGGAAGAGATGGCTTTGGTATGAGGCTGCAGTTGGAAGGGGCTGGAAGGCCTGGACTTCGTCATGTGGGTGGGGAACAGTTGAGGGATTTGGCGTCCTCTTAGATCAGCAAAGCTCGAGTTTTGGCTTCTCTGCCCCAGCGTAAGGCAGCTGGTTATAAGGCGCTATCCCCACCTCCCACTAGACTTTGAAGGCCTCAGGTAGGGTTCGCAGGCCCCATAGAAATGGTAAGAAAACTGTGCCCCATTGTTCAAAAAAAAAAAAAAAATTTTTTTTTTTTTGGCAGTACTGGGGTTTGAACTCAGGGCCTCACATTTGCTAGATATGCACTGTACCACTTGGGCCACTCCATCAACCTTTTTTGTGTTGCGTATTTTCGAGATAAGGTCTTGTGAACTATTTGCCCAGCCTGGCTTCGAATCATGATCCTCCTGACCTTTGCTTCTTGAGTAGCTAGGATTACAGGCGTGAGCCACTTGCACCCTGCTAAACAGGAATATCTTTAAAAAGTAGAAGTTTGCAGAGACTTCCTTTTCAGAGTGCAGCACAAACATTGCAACAGTGCATTTGGAGCATGACTAGGATTTCAGGGCATAGGGAGCAGGTGATGAAGTTCAAAGGCACTTCAGAAATAGACTCTTGGATTCCAGATAGAATTGGTCCCAAACAGGAGAGAAGGTGGAAGGAAGACAATCAAGCCCAGAGACCAGTCTACCTCCTGAGGAGCTAGACTACCTTGCCTCCATAGCAAGGCTTCCTCCCACATTGATCTTTCCCTTCCAACAGCTCTCTGCCCATTAAAACCCCATCCTCCAGCTGGTGATGTGGCTCAAATGGTAGGTAAGCAAACCTGCCTAGCAAGTGTGAGGCCCTGAATTCAAACCCAGTACCAAAAAAAAAATCCTCTGAGACCCAGCCAAAGTCCTACGTTGGTCAGGCCCAGCATCCAAACAGTCCAACAATCTCTTGAGTACCATCAGGGCATGTTTTTCTACCTCTGGTTGAGCTCTTTTGTTCTGTTTTCCGAGATCTGATTCTCAGTAACTCTAAATGAATCCACACTGGTTCCTCAAAATCACTATTTTGCAAGTAGTTGTCAATCTTCTGTTCAGGAATGCTTTTCCAGAATGTTATAAGAACTATCCATCTTCAGGCATATCCCAGGAAAGACACCCAAAGTTCCTAGGATCTCCTTTCTGCCCTGTGAGACCCATCCTCAGGTGTGGGTGGAGCAGGTAGTCCAGCTCCTCACTCAGAATGTGCCCTGTCTTCATCATCCCCAGCGGGTGGTCACACAAGCCTCTGGTTGTTTCTAACAATAGCGAAGCTTCGCCTGTTGATTGTTGCCACATGTACAGAAGTGTGACCTTGCGCACATGTCTGTCTGCCTTCCTTGCCAGGCTGTAGGTTGTATCACTGATCTCTGTGCAGCTGATGTGTGAGGCCATTGTTACCTTGGGAGGGGTGGGAACCAGAAGAGAAAAAGTCAGAATCTCAGGGGGTTCAAGTAGTGTCAAATCTAACTTGATTGGCAAAGGTTTGTGGCAATGGTAATTTCACCTTGTGGGGGAGGAGCAGTTAAGGAAGGACAAAATCAGTTGTGGTGGAGGAAGGGGATTTGGCCATTAGGTTCTTCTGTTTGTTAAAAGGGGACATGAGATGCTTTTTGAAAAAGCCATTGAGCAACACTTGTTTGTGCCTCTCAGTGAAGCAGCTGGGGTTTTTGCTGGGTCATCATCAGTAGACTGTTCCTGTGTGATCGTGACAAGCGTGCATGCAGGCCAGGCACTAGTAAATCTGCAGTTTACCATTTCTCCACTGAAACGCCCCGGCAATGCTGAGTCTGTTTCAAAATTGCACTGAGTGCCTGCCATGTGTCAAGCACTGTGCCGTGAAAAGACGCAGTACTGCTGGGGCACTAGTGGTGTAAGGGCATACAGGAAATGACCGTATAGGGTAGCGAGCTCCAAGGTTTGAGTCTGCATAACGTGCTGTGGGGACCTGGAGACAAGGCATCTGCCAGACACAGGCTTGATCTGAGATACCCAAAGGAAGTGATCACCAAGTTGTAATCTGGCACATGACCCTGGATAGCCCCACTTCCCACAGATAAGGGCTCCCTGCTCTCAGCCTTGTGGTCCTGTGCCTAGGGGAGATGGGCTTACAGAGCCCAACAGATGCAATGAGTGATGCTGGTTTCTCTTATTTCTGAAAGATTTCTCCTTGGACAATGGCAGCTACAATTCAGGCCATGGAAAGGAAGATTGAATCACAGGCTGCTCGATTGCTTTCGCTAGAAGGTCGAACTGGGATGGCAGAGAAGAAGCTGGCTGACTGTGAGAAGACGGCCGTAGAGTTCGGCAATCAGCTGGAGGGCAAGTGGGCTGTGCTGGGGACTCTGCTGCAGGAGTATGGGTTGCTGCAGCGGCGGCTGGAGAATGTGGAGAACCTGCTGCGCAACAGAAACTTCTGGATTCTGCGGCTGCCTCCGGGCAGCAAGGGGGAGGTCCCCAAGGTAGACTTTGGGTGCCCTGGGGTGGGGAGCCCATGGACTTGTAAGTGTGTGGGTGAGCGAGTGTGACACTTGTGGTTCCAGGTGCCCGTGACCTTTGATGATGTGGCCGTGTATTTTTCTGAGCAGGAGTGGGGCAAGCTGGAGGACTGGCAGAAGGAGCTGTACAAGCACGTGATGAGGGGCAACTATGAGACGCTGGTCTCCCTGGGTAAGGCCTGACATGCACTCCTCTGTGAAGTGGGATTTTGCAAGTCCCCAGACCTCTCTTTTCTTGATAGTTGTTTTCATCTCAGTGGTAGGTAAATCCTTATAGATACTTTAAGCAAGGAGATTCGTTTTCCTGAAGATGATCCAGGATGACAGAGTCAGACACTCCTTGCTGCCTGGTGGAGTAGCAGACTGAGGAAGGTGGCAGTGCCTCTCCTAACCAGACCCAGAGTATGGACATCTCTGTTGTTGCTGAGACTTGGAGGGCAAGAATTCCTCTCCTCTCAGATCCATGGAAAAGAACTTCTTTTACTTTGTATTATATAGCCTTTACATAATATACTACAGGGTTTGTGGAGAAGAGTGGACCTTTCCTTTTTTTTTTGTCAGTACTGGGGTTTAACTTCAGGGCCTTGTGCTTGCTACCACTTGAGCCATGCCCCCCAGCCCTTTTTGCTTTAGTTAGTTCTTGGATAGGGTATCCTGTTTATGTTTCCCTTGTAACTGGAATGACAGGTGCTCTCCACCACACCCAGGTTTTGTTGGTTGAGATGTGGTCTCATGAACTTTTTGCTGGGGTGGCACTGCATATCCCAGTTTCTTAAGTATAGGCAAGAGCCACCACACCTGGCAGACTTTGCCTCTTACAGCAGGCATTCTCTCTTTGTCCTGAAACCTTCTTCTTGGCTTTATTTCCTCTCTTGATGGCCTCTGTGTGACCCCAGAGCAATGGGCAATCAGGCATGTTTGGTAAGGGTGGGAATGGGTACAGACATGATATGTTTTGGCTTGTAGAAATGTGCTACTGCTTAACATGGAGGCTCTGTATCCTGGCACCACTGACACTTTGGAGAGATAACTCTTTGTTGGGGTGGGTGTTGTCTTGTTTGTGGTTGGATGTTCAGTAGCAGCCCTGGTCTCTGCCACCAAATGCCAGCAGTGCCTCCCCTGTCCCCTAGACTTTACACAAGATTGTCTCCAGACTGTACAGCAAAAATGCCTACCATTGAGAACCACTGCTCTGTACCAAGGAAGACATTTAGTTTCTAGATAATTCTTGGTTTTCCAGCACCTATCCCCAGCTCTGACAAGAGCATGGGCAAGCTAACCTTCTATTTTTCCTCAGATTATGCCATCTCCAAGCCTGAGGTCCTCTCCCAGATTGAACAAGGCAAGGAGCCATGCACCTGGCGTCGTGCTGGCCCCAAGGTTCCAGAGGTTCCTGTGGACCCAAGTCCAGGTAAAGGGTTGGGAGATGCACAGGGAAACACCAAGTGATCAAAAGAAAACAGAAAAGTAAAGGGCCAGGGATGATGCTTCTCTTCTTTCCAGAGAGACACAGAGAAACATCAGTGTTTTAAATTATGTTTAACATTGAATGTCTTAAATCAAACTCTTTCATATTCGAGTTACAATTTCTAACCTACTCAGTTTACACTGTATAAACCAGTACTTTCCATCCTGGAAACAGGCAGCAACACTAGAGTCAGAGCCAGGGGCACAGAATTAGTACAGGATGAGAGAGGAGGACACTGGCATAGAAAATAGGAGTATGTTGGAGACAAACTCATTCAGAGCTTTGCAAAGAGTTACCCGAATTGCCCTTAAACTATTCATAGTTGCCAAACATGAACCCACTGTCAAGCTGGTCAGATGTGATTAGAACCATGCATTTATTTAAGGTGATTATGGATGCTAGAAATCAGTGTCTCAGATTTCCCTAGAGCCAGGCAGCACCTTTGCAAGTTAAAGAAAGGGCAGGGGGACACATGAGAAAAAACAGATTCCTGAAGGAAAGACCTTGGTGGGTAATTTGGCCAGAGCATGGGGATAGGTGCTGTTTCTGCTTGACCTCTGCTTCCTTCCTTGACTGTCCTTTGCCTGTCCCACCTGCTTTGGATTCTCTTCCTCTGAAACTGTTACTCAGAAGCCTTCCTGTGGTTAACTCATGTGTGGTTAAATGTATTTTCATGTTAACTGCTTCATCTCAATTTGATTTTCAGTTTTTCAATGGCAGAGCATGTATAGGACTGACCATGTTGCCAGTTTTCACTAATGCACTTAACCAATGTAGCTCAGCAACTGTATTTTGAGAGTCTTCTAGGTGCCAAGGACAATGTGACAACTGGAAAGTGGAAAGGTGGCTCAGGTGGTAGAGCACCTGCCTAGCAGGCATGAGGCCCTGAGTTCAAACCCCAGTACCACCAAGAAAAAAAAAAAAATTTTTTTGTTTTAATTAAAAGAAAGGTGACTATGGACGGAGTGCTGTTTGCCTGGACACAGAGAGGACACAGGTGGCCTTACCTTCTGAACCTGGATAGGAGGTCATGGTGATTGGTTAAATTGTGCTTTTAGCATGTGTAGAACTTTACCTGGCTCTTACACTATCATTAATGAGAGTAAACAGGGGCCCAGAGATACACTGGTTGCCAGCAAGACCCCTTCCAGCACTCAGACTCCACTGTCCACTTGAACTCATTGGCAAGAATCCCACATGATCTTTCTTTCTGGCCTCAATCCAGGCAGCCAGGATCCCAGCTTGCCCTTTGCCCCCATTTGGCTTAGTCCCCAACCTTATAAGACTTCACCACCCCTTTTTCCACCTCCTGTAAACTCTTCCACAGAACTTTGTGAGGCCCACAGTGCCAGCAGGTCCTGCTAGGTCCTAGTGTCCCTGCTCATTCTTGCTCAGACTGATCCCTGGTTCTCCCCAAGGGCACTGCTTCCCTGAAGCTCTCCCTTCTTCCTCAGGTCTCTTGATCACCGGGCTTGCAGGGGGCAGACTGACCCTCTGCCAGCCTCCCTCCCTCCTCTCTGGAAACCCTGCCTTGGGGACTCAGGCCTCCACAGACCTTTCCTCCCTCTGTCACTCCTTCTGCCCTCGTTCTTAGAGATAGCAGCATCCAGACAAGTGGTTCTTGGTCCCTCTCCAGCCCTATGGCCATCCTGTGACTTTGGATGAAGTCACCACACCCCTTCCTCCATCTGCGTTCCCAACGTACCACTTTATAACCACCTCCTGACACCCATCCTTCCAGTTCTCTTTTTAAAGCCCTGAGTCTACCATGTCCTCAGCCTCCAGGACCTCCAAGATCTTCCTCCCTTCTCGTCCCAGCACACCCTCATTTCTCTCTGGCCGTCATTAGCTGCCCTCTTCATACAACCTCAGTCCCACACCCCTCCTTTGTTCACTGTGCCCACCTGGCAGAACCATAATCCTGGACCAACCATCTGCCTGTTGGTACCTGTACCCAGGCCATTGCCTGTAGCTGGAGCAAACCCCACAAGCCCACTGCTGGTCTTGCCTGATATTTCTGACAAATATTCCCAACCAGTGACAACAAGTGGGCACTCTGCAACACCCAGCAGTTACTGGCATCACCTCAGCTGCCTCACTAGCCCAGAAGTTGGCAAAAATCTAGCCCTGCTATTTCTCTTTGGACTGCAAGCTGAGAACAGTTTTTCAGTTTAAGAGATCTGTTTTTCATTTTTTGAAACAGGGTTTTGCTATATAACTCAAAAGATCATTTGTTAATTTTCTAAAACCTCTCTCATGGCTCTTTCACCCTGTCTAGCCATCTGCCTACATCTATGCTTGCCTTTCTGTGTTTGCACATATGTCTCTGCTCACCTGTCTACTCTGCAGTTCATGGTCTGGCCCTATGTCCAGCCCTGTACCACCTTAAGGGCAGAAAACAATCACATCCTTACCCTATGAGACTGGGGGTCTCCCAGATTCTACCCTGTTTCTCTGCCCTCTTTTATGGCTGACCTCAGGAGGGAGCATGGTGCGCTTATCATTTCCCACCTTTCCCTTCCTGCTTTCTTTGGACTCCTTCCATCAAAACCCATTCTGACTTGTTCATCAGGGTACAGAAAGGTCTTTGTATCTTAGCATGTTTGGAAAATTGACCACCCATGGCTCACTGTCTTAGTCCATTTTCTGTTGTTAGAACAGAATGCTGTAGACAGGGTAATTTATAAAGAAACTTCTTACAGTCCTGGAGACTGGGAAGTCATGATCAAGAGGCTACATCTGGTGAAAGCCATTTTGCTGGCTTTTTTTAGGGACTCTGCAGAGTCCTGAGGCGGCACAGGGCATCCCTTGGTGAGAAAGAGCAAGTATCCTCATTCAGGTATCTGTTCCTCTTCTTACAAAGCCACTCATACCATCACGAGGGCTCCACCCTCATGATCTCATCTAATCCTTGATTACCTCCTGAAAACCCCACCTCCAATGCAAGAGATTAAGGGATTAAGTTTCTGGCACAGTAATGCCAAGGACACACCTCACCACAGGAATACCAGGGACATATCCAAGTCACAGCTGCCTCCTGAATCCCTCTCCTGGGGCTCCTTCCCTTCCTTCCTCTTCCCTTCCTTGCTCTTCCCTCCTCTGCTGCTTTCTATGTCTCTTTGGAACTTTTCCACAATAGTGTGCCTTCTGTCCTCATGCCCTTTTTCTCCCTGATGCCTATGTTTTCTCCAGCCCACCAGGTCACAGGGTTGTACCTATGTCTAGGTGTGTGTGCCCCCAGCCTGGACCTCTACCCAAATTCTGTATGCCCCATTGCCTGAGCTGCATTTCTACTTGGATATCCCATTAGACAATCATACCAAACATATCCAAAGCTGACCTGTCATTTCCCTTCCACACCCACTCCCACATTGCCCTTGATCTCTCCATCCTTCCACTGCAGGCCAAAAACCCAGGAGACCTCAGAACCTCCTTCACACCCACATCTACCCATCTCTGTCATTTTGGCCCTCCCACCCAATTTCTCCAGACTCCAGGCCTGTCTCTTGATTGGATTGGATTATCGCCATCTCTGCTCTTGCTCCCATCCCCCAACACCTGCTCTAGACAAAGCAAAGGAATCCCTTAAAACATACCCTGACTTTCCATCCAATCCACACTGCCCAGCTCTCCTCCTGTTTTCCTTCTGTCTGTTCCAGCACCCTTGCTGTTCCCTCAGCACTGTAGGCCTGCCTATCCTCGAGCCTCTGCTGAGCACTCCTGTCCCTGGGCCTCTCGAGCCTTTGCTGGAATAGGACTTTCCTTGGCCACCCTGCTTAATATTGCAGCCCTCCCACCAGGATTCCAGTCTCTGTCTTGCTTTGTTTTGTTCCACATCAGATAACATCATCTGTTATAGATGTTCCATATTTATAGGCTCATTGTCCACCTAGTCCCTATCCCATAAGAATATAAATTTCAAAAGGATAAAAACTGTTTAATTCATGTAGTCAATCCAAGCTGCTAGAATATTGCCTAACAGTAGGAATTCAATAAGTATTTTTGAAAATGTGCTGAGTTTAAGCATTTAAAATGTGTATGATGTTGTTTAAAATATACTTCAGATACCATTTAGACCACTTTGTAGGTCTTCCAGTTCTGTTCCTCCCTAGGGTAACCACTTGTCCTAAGTTTGACACATCTATCCTTTCTATCCACATTTAAAAACATCTGCTATGTATGTACATACACACATACATACATACATACATTTGTACCCAGAAAGAATATGTCATTTTTGTGTGTTTTGAGAAGTTAACATAAATGTTACATATTTTTTCACTGAATAGTCTGTATTTTAAATTTACCCATGTTAATACATCTAGATCAGGATTCAATTTAAAAGATGCTTTAATATTGAAAAAGCAGCTTTTATTTATTTGTTTGTTTGTTTATTTATATTTGTTTATACTGGGGTTTGAGCTCAGGGCCTTACACTTGCTAGGCAGGTGCTCTACCACTTGAATCACTCCACTAGCCCTTTTCTGTATTGGATGTTTTCAAGATAGGGTCTTGAAAACTATTTGCCTGGGGCTAGCTTTGAACTGCTGTCCTCCTGATCTCTGCCTCCAGAGTAGCTAGGATTACAGGTGTGAGCCACCAACACCTGGCAAAAAAGCAACTTTTTACATTATGGTTTTTCCATCAATTTGCGCTTAAGTAACTTCTAATTTTTTGTTATCACAAGCAACATGTCATAGACATTTTTGAGTATGTCTGTGGGTGCACGTGCTGATGTTTCCCTGGGGAATAGATGTGGAGGTACCTTCCTACATCTTAGGCATTCCTGGTCCTCACCTCTGCCATTGCCATCCTGCTCTTGCAGTGGTCACAGTAGCTTCTCCTGTTAGCAGTTATGAGGTACCTGTTTTCATTGCTTTTTTTTTTTTTTTTTTTTTTTTTTTTACAATAGTGGGTGAGGTGAGAAGTTTGAGTAAAGACCA